GTGTGTGTGTGTGTGTGTGTGTGTGTGTGTGTGTGTGTGTGTGTGTGTGTGTGTGTGTGTGTGTGTGTACGCTCGGATGAGATCTGCTCATCGCACAACACGAGATCATGTGACTGAGTCGGAGCAGCACGATCACCTCAGGCTCACACACGATATAGACACAGCTGTCACTTACCAGACTGAGAATCTGACACAACAGATTTGAATTTCTGTTGATCTCTCGTCGCTCATCCTCACACTCTGAGCCGAGCTGACAGTCTGTCGGCGCCGCTTGACTTTCTCAGATGTTTATCTCATCCTCACCTCTGAAGTCACATATTCAGTTTATAGACGTACATCTGTGCAACATTTACATTTTATCAACTGCTCTCCACTTCCTCCCTCTATCCAGAAATACAACATCTCAAATAAGAGCGTTGCCATCTTGTGTGGATGTTCTTTGGAGTTTGGCTGAGCTCCCCTGAAAGCTTGATCATTAAAATACCAGTTTCACACCTTTATTCCTGCTGTAGCGTCCATGTTCTTCAACTTCTCTTCGCTGAGTTTGGCACAACAGTGAGATTTGTATGTTACGTGTGGGTCGCACAGACGGACAGAAGGGAAAGAACGTGAAAAGGTGACGGCACAGCAGCGTAGAGAGGGAAACACGGAGAAAAGAATGTGGTCACATGCGTCCCGCGATCGGACAAAAGCGTCCTCAATGCATCTTGGGTACGTGCACACCTGAGAGCTGTCTACTGGTGATCAGATCCCTCAGGATGGAGGTTGATTGATATCAGGTCTGAACAGGGAACAAACTGACATCCCAGTGATTCACAGACATCACAGACATCACAGACAAGAGCAGAAATCAGGTCATTTCAGCCCGAAAAACAGGGAGTGAGAAATAAATCTGAGTACTGCTGCGTTAAACCAGTGTCTCTGAACCTGGATTAGATGAAAAACAGCTGAAACGAAACCTCCCCAGATATATATGAGGACGATGAAGACAGAGGACGTGTTATTCAGTGTGTGTGTGTCCACTAAATGAAACCTGGTACCGTTGCAGGAGGGTAAACTGAAAAATTCAGATTCTTTCACAAGCTCACAAAAAAATGTGAGAACAGAGAAGAGCGATGTTCAAAAACAGGAACCGAGAAACACACTGACCTTTGTTACAAACACTCGACACTGCCGAGCCACCGACTGCAGCGTCTCCGAACACACACACATCACATTCACTCCCAATCATTTCTCACAAAAACATTTCCAGCATTTCTGCTTCCAGTTCTCCGTGTGACGTTTTGGGTCGACTCCCTTCCGCTTGTTTATAACTTGCTCGTGTTTTTAATACGTGAACTTAATCCATGAAATTTAATTAGCGATCTTTTCTCACTTTCAAGTCATTAATTGAGCTGAATCGATCCATCGCTTGTTTTTTTTGCACACACAGATAATCCCGGTAGGTGGAGTGACCTTCCCCGGTTGATTCTCTGGCCTGTGGAACTTCCGCCACCGTTTGTTGACATCTAACATCAACAAAACAAAAAAAAAGACGAGTGGAGCGGGAGAGCGAATGAGTCTGTATGGGAAAGGAATGCCACACGCATACCGCCCACGCAGAAAAACACAGCCCACATATCAGCAGCGGTGACCACAGCCACCGACGGCCAAACATGCACGCTGTGAGGGGATTACACAAAGACGCACGGCTGCAAATATGCATGTGCAAGCTCACACTCACACTTACACACAAAGGGTTGTTGTGCAGGACTGGTCAAGCTCTTCAAACCTGTTATCCCAGCCAAGAGTGCCGAGCCACGCAGGTCGAGTTACTCTGCTCTCAAGCGACAGCGAGGCTGTGAAGTCACATGGCTCGAACTTTGCTTTGTAGATTCTTTTCAGTTTGTTTTAGAAACAAAACTAATTCGTAGCATCTCATAACAACATCCTCTCCCAATGACATGTCAAGGTTTGGGCGTGTTTTGGTGAGTACGTGCTGCCGAGGAGCACGAGAGTGGAGCTGAACTATAAACCATAGAGGTTATCACACACCATCGCACAACAGTGTATCACAGCGTCACATGGTACGAGCTACTAGATGTGTGTGTGTGTGTGTGTGTAGTTTATTTAAACACACATTACACTGCCAGATATACACTATAATTTCGTGAATGGATAATAATCAAACAACCCTGCAGTTCCAGCACCGCGATTAAAAAGAACAAGAAGACGACTGCAGCTGAAAAGATGATTCAATGAATGTCCGTTGGTGGATGTGCAGCCTGTGGTCCTGCAGTGAAGGACCGTGTTGACGTGGTGAAATACAAGTTTGACTCCCACCCGTCTCTCCCCCGCCCCTCCACTGACTCGACTTCCCACGTATTTCTCAAGTTCCTCTCATTTGCCTCTTGGCATCAGTTACCATGGTGACAGCCTCCAACAGCGTCTCTGTTTGTTGTGTGTGTTGTGTGGTGTGGTGTGTGTGTACACAGGTTCCTTTAAACTGTGCTCTTTATAATCAAACCCTCTCACACAGTTTAGGAACTCCTTCATTCATTGTGTGTGTGTGTATGTGTGTGTGTGTGTGTGCTCAACATCCTTTTCAGCTCCAACATGATGTGACATTTTAGATGGACTATGAGGTGACCTTATTAGATGACATGAAAATTTAATGATGCACTGACTGTCATCGCAGGAAATACTGACAGCAGACATCAATCATATTTTACACACACACACACACACACACACACGCACAGCTTCACATTTAGCATGTTTATAGTTAATGGCCTGTGGATATGAACATGTGATACATTCAACGTTAATAAAAATCTTAATAAACAGACAGCGCCTTGAAGTCAGAGGAATTCAGCTCAACAGGCAGTTAAGTCAGTGAACTGAATTCAACACGTCTTCCCCTACGTCCTCGAATGAACTAACACCAGCGACAACTGGAGGCCCGCAGGTTCAAACTGGCTGAGCAATAATATTTGTCCCGCAACATCATTTTTGATCATTTGATTCATTTTAATTCCCCGGACCGGACTGACTCAGACACCAGCGGCGGTTGCTTCTACTATATTTCTTCTATACTGAGCGGAATTACACAGCTTTGATTTTGAAAAGTTGTGAACTGAAGTCTTATTATTGCTTAACAGATGGAAAAATAAAATCCGGTTCATCATAGCCCACTTTTCCAGTTATAGAAAGACGTCTGCAACAAGCATCACCACAGACCAAGAAAACAGGTTTTATTTGCTGCACCGGTCTTTATAAAAGAGGGTGTGGACGAAGGAAACTTTTAAAGATCACTGACATTTACTAAAATTGCTTCTCCAGTTCCCTCTTATAATAAAAAGTAACAGTGGCGCAGTGAGGTTTAAATTCATGCACGCTGGACATCAGGCGTAATTTAGAAAACACACAAACACAAGTGAACCATGAAGTCACGAGAGGGACGTTGCTCTGTGTCAACACACGGTCACATGTCGCACCCTCAGGTACTGTGTGATACTGGTCCACTTTTTGTCTCGAGGGACTCATGTCTGTCTTTGGTAAGTGAAGGAACCAATGGAAAAAAAAAAAAAAACCACGTGATCTTTTCCTCTGTCTCTGTTTTTCTTATTATTCATAATGAAAACTAAGAAGAAACGGCACAATGTGACAAAGATGAATAAATAATATGTTAATGA